GGGGGCGACTCCATTGCGTTAGGAGGGTGCCAGGCGGGGCGAGTCAACTGCATTAAAGGGGTGACAGGTGGGGCAGGTACATTTCATTAGAAGGGACGTCAGGTACGGCAAGTCCATTGTATTAGAAGGATGACAGGCGGTTGAGTCCATTGCATAAGAAGGGTTGACAGGTGGGGCGAGCCTTGTATTTATCCGAATTTGGTTCAGAGAACAGAAACTGAAGAAATTTTGTTTTACTCCCAGAAATCAAATTTTTGGCCAGTTTCTGCCGTATCCATTTTAAAGACCAACTTGCTTTAAGCTTACATCATAATCATCCCACCTTTTCATTATTACGTTAAAATGTCAAATAAAGTATTTAAACTAAGAATAGGCCGCCAAGTTAAAACAATTCACGATAGCAAAAGCCAAAACCCATCAAAATGGGACCTCCTTATATAAGAAAATTTAGGAAAAATTATATCAAAACGAATTAGTTGCATATGCTATAGAACAAAAATCTCATGTGAATTTTTTAAAAACCAGGATTGTAAATTTATATAAATTTGAACTATAACATGTAGATTGTTGGAAACCATTTTAGATATTTTATTTCAGTGCGCTAATACAGCTTGGAGGGTTTATTTAGAAAATTCTGGTCATTTTACAACTATTTAAAATTTATGTACCACAAAAATCTGTCAACCACAAAAAACATTGACATTATTTACAGGTCAGATTGAATTTGAAAGTCCTCAAACACTAAAAATAACTCATTTTCCATTATGATTACAACTATTCTTGTCATAATAATTTCATAACAACGTGAAAAATAAAACGCCAAATTACAAAAGATTTTTTTTTTTATTGAGTTTTCATATAATAGATGTCCGAAGGAGCGTGGGTTCCTGTGTGTGAAACAAAGGCTAGATTTCATAGGTTGCTTTCAGGCAGATGATGTGTAGAATATCGTTGAGCTCCTGAAAAGATAAAATAATGTTTACAACTTTGAACTAAACAGACAGGCTCTCTACATTCTAATAATACATGTAATATTACAGGGCAGAGGGCACGTATAAATGGAATTTATTAACTAGTCTGATGTTCAGGTTCAGCTAGCGCAAAACCAAAATTATGATCTGGAATTAGTTAATGATATAACTATTTAAGGCCTCTTGTTAAAAAAGTAACACTGATAGCACAACCGTTATTCCTCTTGATATTAAAAGTTATAACACGTGTTGTCGTACATGTCGACGCATTTCAGAGAAAGAAATCATTGACAAATTCTCTTCGAAAATTATAACAAATATATTGCACATATATATATATATATATAAGAAGGTCTAATAAGTTTTCATACAGTGAAATGGATGGACCTTACACGGCACAATGGAGACGACAGGCTGTGTAAAATATGTATCTGTCAATCATTGTGCAATGAGCAATCGAAATCCTTGGATCAGAAGCTCAGAACGTTGACAAGCATCATCCGGTTAATTAATTTGGGTGGTTACACTTACATTTAAACACACACGACATTTTAAATTAGGTTAAAATGTTCAAAATTAATTGTCCAAGGCCGGGGCACACAAAATGTTCAAACAGAGGGTTACAAAGTGCAGAGTATTTTCAAGTTAACTATCATCAAAAGTCAAATGAATGCGCCGTTTATCCTGAACATTTGGAGTCCCAATGCACTGTAAGCAATAATTTCTACCATTCTGAGTGACATACAGGTAAAATTGGAAATATAGTAAAAGGATTCATGTCATAAATGTTTGTCGTAAATATTTTTCTCGTTCTTCTACGCCTCAAGTATATAATGGCTGTGGTTGACGAAAAAATAGTGATACTCACAAACATACATGTTTTGCTTCCACGCCTCATAAAAGCTCGACCTTCCGACTGCACCACACATACTGTTGCGACTACACCCGACTCTGTTTAACTGCCAAGTGAGCATTCGGGAAGACAGCTCGCACTACGATGGACAACTTGTTCTTATGCAAATAACCACTACAGGTATAGCTCATTTTAGGTGAGAGGTTGAGAGGTCATTTTAGGTGAAAAACTGTTCACGAATGTTCAAACCCGGCGGTTATACCTTCATATGCTCAAAGTCGTGCAAATATTCGATGTCACATACAATACTCAACAAGGCCAAAAGTGTCTAACTGGGCCTACTACACATGTAGCCCAGGTGTAACAGGAATTGGTGTGATATTTTTTTCAGAAACCAAAGGGGGGTCCTGACCCCTTCCCCCCCCCCCTCTAAGTTCGCCACTGCACCCCGCCATGCAGTTACATGATATGTTCGCTCCTCTGCCCAAATTCGCTTTTAATACTCTGCAAAGCTAGACTTTTAAGTTAACACACATACGGAGACAATTCTTTATACGTTGCTGCACCTTCACTGCGCAGTACGGCCCCTCCGGACCCCTTTTAAAAGGGGAATTAAAAGCATATATACCAGTATTCAAAATTATGTAACCGATTCTGGAATTTTTGTGTTGAATTTTTGATGGATTTGATGAAATAACGGACTGTCTTATTCTACAATATTTGAAAAAAAAGGTTTATTCAATTTTTTCCTTTTTTAAAAATTTACTTATATATTCTATATGTATATTGTAAAATCTATTGAACATAATTGGATTTCAGGTGAATTATTATAACATCCACCAAAAAGGTTGTTTTTGCATCCATTTTTCTGTCCGTTTGCCCGTTTGTAAAAATGACGAAAAAATTTTGGACGGATTTTGATGAATTATTTTGGAATGTGTCAGAAGTGGACTAAATAACAAAAGATAAGATTCCATTTATTAATTGATAGTTAACTTTTTGTCTGCCTGTCCGTTAACAACATTATGCAGAAATGTGTGGATTCTGGTGATATTTTTGGAAACTGTTGGAAGGGGAGTAAGTAACAAACTTAGATTTGGTGACGATTCATTATTCAGTTATGAAGTTAATCAATAAAGTCTGTTTGTGTGTAAACCTCATTTTGTTGAAATTTTCAGCACAGGTATGAAATGGGCTAGAATTTGGTGGTGATTAATTGATTAGCTCACTATTTTAATTAGTTTATAATTGTTTTATCGATCAATTATTCATAAATGAGAGCAGAGTTATTTAACTTATTAATAAATGATAATTTATAATTATGAGAACTGAGTTGCTTTTGGTGAGACCTGCACTCTGTAAGTGCTCTTTTTATTTATTATTATCCTAGCAAACACATGTGACGCTAACAAGTCGTAGCGCATGCACTTATTTACAAATGAGCAAAAGGCGTTTGTCTTTTTGGAGTGTCCAAAAATTGGCATCACTCTACGCTGTTAGTGATCAGAGATGAGTCTGCCATGTAGTGAAAAAGGTCAGAAAATATGGAGGTGGTCCAGGGGGCGGCCTAAATCAATGATATTTTTGGCTCCCAAAAAAGTTGGAAATCCGCAGATAGTCGGAGAAATCTCATCCCTGACAATTCAAGCGCCACTGCAACAATAATGAAGCCCAGCTCAAAAGTAAAAACAAAATGCAATCAAACAAACATAATGGACATTTTATGAGTAAGTTTACTTGTGGGCAAAAGGACAATTTTTTCTCCGATTAACAAATATTTATTTATTCATATCAAATATTCAGTGCTAAATGTAATACTGCTTGAATGTACAGCCCTCTCTCTCTCACCCAGTTCATTGCCGTGAACGCATGCCATTAAAACCATGCTTATCATGTGCCCGTCTCCATAAGAGTACCTCAATTTTATTAAATCATATATTTGGCATGTCTTCTATTGTTTTTGTTTATTTAGTGAAGCACCAGCCTACACACTGGCAACCCTACGTACTGTAGGATTGGAAAATTCTTTGATATCAGGAAATCTTCTAAATTCTAATCTTTAAATGTCATGGCTAGTAAAATAATTTTTTACTAATTCACCTTTTTAAAACAAATATTTGAGCTTTAAACAGTAAATGTGCGCTATACATAAAGCAATTATTTGGACGTAAAAATTTCACATGTATGGAAGATTTGAAGTCGTTTACTTTTTTCTCCAGAAAAATGAATTATACATTTATCAATGAAATCAATACAATTCTAATTGAAATAAATCAAAGGAAAAAAGTCTACCATTAAAATTTAAGACCTCTTCCACATATCAACCCGCAAAAATGCTAAAAATATGGTTGATTCTACTTCAAAAATTATCATAATAATACAACTGTGAAGCTTAAATAAATATACCTGCTTCAATGAAAATGACATTAGACATTTCATTGTTATTTTCAAAAGCTGTAGACTATAATTGATGACCCTTACTGCCAAGTACACTTAATCATAAATATATATATAAAGATTTATAAAGATTCTCCATCAAGGAGTTTCATCCTGTTATTTTTAATATTTTTACAGTCTTTTATATTCTGAGGCAGTACAATGCTATTCTTTCTATATTTTCAACACTTAGCTTTATCTTGACCTCCATACTATCTGCTGAACACACACTTGGTAATTTATCTGACAGTCATAATCATCACACAGAGTTATATAATATGTATTTAAGCAAATCTGTCAAATCTGCACTGAAAATCATTGCATATTTTGTTCAAAAAATAAAGTAAAAACAGGAACCCTGTCAAATCGGGCAGATGTGCACTTCAATATAATGCATACAAAATCCTTGTCAGACTATTCCTTTTGAGCTTTGGTTGCTGTAGGCTTGAAATACCACACAATTCAATCCAATTCAAATGCACATTGAATTCAACACATTATATTTTCCATCACAATTTTATGAGACCAGTATTTGTCCATAGTAAGTATCTTTTTCAGTCTTGAACCTGAAAACCTATGCGAGTTCTGGTTTCACACACTATCTTATTGCAACAATTTGACTTCAATTACATATAATATTCAGGCATTCTAAGGCGGCTATGTTTTATTAGAGCCCGCATTCACTTGAAATGTATGTGCTACTGAGGACTTGAACAGTCCATCTGAAGAAATCCAGCTTCGAGAGGATGCATGGTCTAGTTCCTCTTCCACATGCCTGCGAGCAGCATTGGTTTTTTTGAAAAATAATTTGGCATACTCGTAAGATCCTATCATAATGGCACAGGCAGGGGCCACTTTTACCACCCGGGGCACTATTCCTATAATAAAGAAAAGAAAATGAAAACTTTATGTTGGTTAACATAATGGCATTACAGTGACACTACCACAACCAAATACTTTTTTTTTATCAGGAGCTACCGTACATTTGCTTCATAAGGGTGGATAAAACGTCAATGTTTAATAAAATTAGTTTTAAATAAGTTAAAAGACATGAATTCAAAAGTTAATGACTAACTCTGAATCCAGATATGTATGTATGTATGTATGTATGTTCCAAAAGTAAGTCTGTGAATATCTCATATGCAATTCTCCAAAGAAAATCAAAGAATTATGGTAAACCAAACTTATCAATCATGTTCTAAAGTTCTCTGTCAAATAATTTGACAGTTTCTTTGTTATTTAGAACTATCCATTGGTATGTCTTAATATGCTATTGCCAGATGGCTGTACATAACTATAAGGCGCATTCCCATATATTTTAGATTGATCTATCCCCGTGGGGAGTCTCACTAGATTTCTGTCAGATAATCCGGCTTAAATGTCCGTCCCGCCTACTAAAAGCTGTAAAGGGGTAATTAACTTTCGTGCCCACTCGGCTGACAGCTATTTAGCGTGGACCCCCACGGAGTTAGGTCGATCTAGTTGGATCTATCTCATCTCTGGGAATGGGGTCTAACACTTACCTGTAAACCAGGAATTATATCCTTTCTTGCTTCTCATTTCCATCAATAATTTCAAAGTTGACGTTGTCACTTTGTTCATTTGTCCTGTCATACAAAAGGGTATAATGATCCACTATTCTGACTTTTAAGCCTTAAATCAAAATTAATCTAAGTGATTAATTAAAATTTACGATTAATTAAAATTTCTACAAATGCTTAACTTTTCGATATGAGATAATCTCTCAGAGATAATTAAGTTGCTTTTGGCGAAAACATACTGATAAGTAGTCACATAACGGAAAATAACTTTTCAGAAAATATAACAGTTACAGTTAGGCAGTGAAAAAATTAACAGGGGTTTCCTCAGTGTAACTTTAAGAGGCCTATGACACACTTAAAAAAAATTAGGATCCTTTCTTTAAAACATTCGTCCTCTAAGTTCAAAATACAGAGACAATCCTGATGCATGCAGTGGAATTTCTACCTTTACGTTCCATATCTCCCATTTCAATTTGCCTGTGGGTTTTGACTACATCAAATGGTAAAGTTAGGACTCCAGCAATCTTGAAATAGAAATAAATTACTGGGTTGACAACATTAGGCAAAATAACAAAATCTATATCATGACAAAATGTATACATGTACCAATACTTATAAAGTTGTTGACTGACTTTTCTTACTACAGAGACTTCACAATGCCCTTCAATTTTTTTAACATTAAACCAGCATATTCCAGATTTTCCTTTTAGACAGATATAAATCATTTTATTCAAATTAATATTCTGAACTAAATCTGATTCAGTAAAAAAAATGCAGCAAAGAAAAGTGTTTTCATAAGCCACATTAGAATTCATTTGGCACATGGTTACTATGTACCCCATTAGAGTCAGCCTCACATAACATAAATATAAAAACAGGACTACTTACAGTGCCAGATATAGCACCAGATGCGAACGCTTGCCAGAAGGATGGCTCACGTGCATTTTCTCCAGCAATTAACGTCTTGAAAATTTCGTAACTACACCAGTATATACCTGAATGAAAAAAACATAAAAAAACTTAACAATGGTTGCTTGAAAATCAAAATTTGCAATGAGTGTTTTTAGCGCTTTTATCTTCATGCTTCATATAAAATTATTTAATGTTAAAATATTTCTATAATAAACTTGCATTCCCTCCATCTTTATCTCCAATTCCGACATCTTCATACAACTAATCAAATTTAAACTTGAGAAAGGGACCTGAGAAGGGCACATCTCTGAGAAGTGATGGTCCAAGACCCTGCCACAGTGATAGCACTCCTCCATGTTTCATGGCGCCGCGGACTGCGAGACCTAACTGGCCGTAACTGAGATGCTGAGACTGCTTCTTCGTACGTATCAGTTCCAGAGGAGAGACAACAGTTGTGGTTAAGACTGAAAGTCAACGAAATCTCATCACATATATACATTGCAGTTCACTGGAGCTTTTTAATCAATTTTCTACTTAGAATTTCTTTCACTCAGAGAAGTATTTCACCAGCTGTGTTATGTTAAAGGAATGAAGTAATTTTTCTTCAGTCAACAGCTTAATATTCTTTCACTCAAAGTTAAACTTTGAGTGAAAACTTCCAAATTCATATTTAAAGTGCCTAGGGTGACTAGGTTTCCAAATGATTACAAAATTTTTCAATGTTTTTTAAGTAATAACTCCTGCTTACAAGTATAAGAATATAAGCATATTCTTTTATCTTCTCCGTATTTAGCTTTTTAATAATTCATTCAAACATTACCTCTGGCAGACATGCCTGCCAGTACAGGAACAAAAGCAGTCTTTCTGTTGTCTTCTCTATAGCCCATCTTGTACTTGAGCTGGTCATACACAGTGAAGTATAACATGGTAGCAGGAACTGCCATCACTCTGGAGAATTCATGAAGAATTGATGAATGACTGTCAGACTAAATCATTATCATGACACCCACAAAGCAAAAACTCTTAATTATAAAGATAATTCTTCAGCATGCAAAAAAATTAATAAAAGCAACCAGTGTTAAAAAAACAGTGCATATCAAAATAATTTGAATCTATTTAAAAATTAAAAAGTTAATAATATTAAACTTGTACCTTACAAAAGTCATAATAATATCAGCCACAGCATGATGCTGAACCAAATCAAGGCTGGATTGGGTATAATATTTGATAATAAACAAGTGCATGATAAGTACTGAGTTTAATTTCTTTTAATAGCAGACATGGGGAAAGTGCCCATTTGCTTGAAATGCCAGAGGACCTGCAAAATTTTTGATATCACAGGTCCTCTGGACTGACAAGGTTTCAGTGAAAAACTATACAAAAATCACATGTAAATGCAGACTAGGGGAAATAAAACACTTTGTTCCGGTCAGCACAGAATTGATGTGAACCTGCAGATTTCTTGTAGTACAAGTCCTAGTAACTGTCAGAATTTGTTACGTTTTCCCCCCAATTCTGAAATAGTTCACTTACAAAGTTGGTGACAGCCCACTCCACAGTGAAGGTATCCCTTCATGTCTTGCAATTCTTATCATAGCATCCTAATAATGAAATCAATGCTTTAACATTTTGTATTATAACAGTAGCAAAGTGGCCAACAAATGTAAACACCAAACAGTAATTAGTAAAATGCATCAGCAACATTTGATGATTATATAAATGGTTATGAAAACTTTTAGTTGACAGAAACATTGTTGTGGACAGGCAATCAGTGACTATTTACCTTACAGAAAAATGAAATCTGTAATCTGACAGCTTGACTGACTAATGTTTGTTTTAATCTTTATTCAATATTCTGAAAAACAATTATGTCCCCTTACTGCTGTCCCTGTAAGCTTGGGTCCAGGTATTCTCTTCTTATACCAATGCACATCTTCTTTGCAGGCATCTCCGTTCTCGCATGTACATACATGCTCCATCAGGCCGTTGTTCATTATAAAGCACTCGCCTGCCTTCAGAGGTCTCTCCTGGGCCTGGAGACGGATCTTCACCACATCCAGGGGGGTTACTGAAAGGTCAGAGATTACACATTTTTTTTCAAAAATTATCTTCATGATGGGCAAAATTGATTGGTTTTCAAAGGGTAGGACTTGGGATGGTGTGAAGCAAGGGAAAACTTGAGATGTTCAAAATTTGAGATAAGATGGCCACTGGAAATCATTTTCTGGATATTAACTATTATTAAATATTATCTGAGACTACTAGTATAGCCTATATGATAGCATAAAACGGAATATATAACCTGAAAATTGCAGTCTTGTGGTAAAGAGCCTCATCATTGCAATTTGCATTAGGACTACACAGTGTAAACATTATAACTGTCCAGACATGCAGTCTGTTAATGCACAGCTTTTCCAACATATCATTACAGATACAGATCATCCCGATTAATATTTAAGCGTAACTGTTAAAGCGTAACGCTGATCAGTGATGCCACCTTACCAAAGAGTGAGGTAAGCATGGCCCCACAGGATGAGGCGATCATCTGCTGTAATGGGGAGATTCTATCTCGATCCTCCATCACAAATTTCTGTAAAATCTATCCGTAATTTAGAGATAGATACCCCGCCATTTTTTTCACCAAAGATGAAGCTCATGCATACTAAACAGGAATACTTTTTAAACGCGTGCCTTGCCGTCCCACACTGAGCTCATGACCCATTTTGTAACTGGGTCAAGGTCATATCCAATCCCATGGAGCTGATTGATCTTTTATTGTTTTACTTCGATCTTATAGATTATATATTTTTTCAATAATATGGTATACGAGTGATAACTACACCCCTCTAACCAAATAAACTTAGACATATATAACAATAATTAAATATGGTGCCAATACAACTTAAAACCTTATTTACATATGATATCGAAACAAAGATAGTAATCAGATAATAGACCTTCTTTCCAACACGACTGATAGAATTTCGTAGTTCAATATTTTGCGGTGTTGTCGGCGCCAAAATGTGCGGAGGGTTCAGCTGCTCAAAGAACGCCCTTGCGGCGTTAAACATTCTGTATATAGTAAGTAAATTTTTTGAGTTTTGTGTCATTTACTTCACCAAACGCTGACGCCGGTTTCCTCCATTCGCGAAAGACTCGGTGTCGGTGAGTCGAGCAGTCACCTTTGCTTTGTCATCAGCCAAAGGCAAACATGAACTAAACAAAAACGAACTTTTGGAGAAAACTGCCTTGTAGTTGTTTGAAGTTTTCAGTTTATTGTAGCGTCATGTCATGTAGTCTGCCGGCCCAGTACACGTCTTTATGTGAAAGAGCTAGGAAGTAAACGATGAAATAACTTCCAAGTCATCTTAGACTGAGATGTTTCAATACCAGTGAAACCGCGAGGCACAGTGGTATTATTTTGTCACTTGTCAACTTGGACAGCTAAAAAACGGAAATTAAACCTATGTTAAAGGAGATGACAAGAAGAAATATTGGTAGTAGGCAATTGCCTAAAGCTAAAGGGTTGAAACCATCTTTTGTGATAAAGTTACAAAGTGCAGGATTTTAAAAACAAGTGCTTAAAACACCTTAACATATCTGAGGATAATTAAGTGATGATTGCCCATCATATATTAATAGATTAATGCCTACATTCATAAATGATGAAAATTACCACCTCCTGACAAACATTGCCACCTGCCAACCCTATTGTGACATTTTTAATTTGTGGGTACTCCAGAAATCAGTACTAAAAATTAAGATTGAAAGGATAATGGTATTTGAAAACCATCTCTTAAGCATGGGTTAAGGATAAGGGTATTCCAAGATTGTTACAGAGTGATGACAAGTATCAGGAAAGGAGGGTTATATGTTGGATAGTCAGGTTAAAATCAAGTAACAGCCTTTACCCCAGTATTATTCATTAATTTTTTTTAATTTGCTGTATAAGCTTTTAAAATCTGTTTGTCTTTAATCAGAATCTACATCCTTCCTTTATATTATTTCTTAATTTTGCCTCAAAGATAATGTGATACTGCAGAGGTAAAGATGATAGTGCCGTAGCTGTAACCAGAATATCTCTATGCTATATGTATATCACAATACATTGTTTACATTGGTACTACTTTTTAGGGCCCTTGATGTCCTTTTAGGACCCTTTCAGAATTACTCATAATCATTGTGGTTTAGAAATTACCAAAAGAGGTTCAACATGACCTCTAAGTATTGCATTTGGTAAAAACCTAGGCAGTGATTATCATGTTAATCTACACTGGTAAGAAAATTTGGACCCTCGCTTTTATTAGTTACTATGAGTGATATTGAGAAGTTAAATCAGTAATATGCAAATGTGATGAAATATTTTTAAAAGTGAGTGACCCGAGTTTATCTCTTGTCTCCACAGCAGTGGATGAAGGACTTAAGATTAGCATTTTAAAATAATGTGATTGTTGCGTGCCCGATTCATTTACCATTCCCCAAGACATAAATCAAGTGATAACTGGCAAAATTTGCGTAGTCAGTCATATGGGAAACAAGTCCAAGGTCAAAAGTGGTTTTACATGTACAAAAATATCCATTTTAATTGTGGATAGACATTTTTTTGTGATATTGCATTTTTATTTCGTTTTTATTAATTGCAGAGTAACTGCACTATACAAACAGAAATTAATTAATTCTTTTTATTTGTGAGTGAATGTTTCAAAAAGCGTGCCTCATTTTTGATTAATTACCTTGAGCATCTGAGTGTATGAATGTTGAATGAGAATTTAACTAGCTCTTTGCAAAATCAGTAAATATCTACTGTATTTTAACCAAAAAAAAAAAAAAAAAAAAAAAAATTGGCTCCAGACAAGGTGTGAAAACATAAAAGGGAAGAATTTTATATTCATTAAGCAGGTACTAGTACTAGTATGAACTTCCAACCAAGTGACCTGTTCTACAGAAGCCTGCAACATGTGTTTATCAAGATTGATTTGAATATATATATATATATATATATATATATATATATTATGGTGTCAGGTGGTTGAAGGTCTAAGCTGAGTAAGTATGACTTCAGCAATCAGCTGATATTAAACAGACTGGTGCATGTGTAACTAGACCAGTGTGATTAGTCATGTCGTTTAAAGGTTAAGTCATTAATTCTAGACAGTGTGTAGCAGCATAGTGGCATCAAGGTATAAAAATTTTCTCTGTCATTGAATGTCCATTTTTTTTCACCCCTGTGTTGCCATTGTGTCTCTGATGCTCATTTCCATCACCAATTTATATCAATGGTTTAGTCATTAATTCTAGACAATGTGTATCAGCATAGTGGCTTCAAGGTATAAAACGAGTATGAACTATACAAATAAATTTGTATTCTGTTCTATAAATTTGTTAGGCCATATATATGAAATGTGTAACATTTTTCTAAGTCATTGAATGTTCATTTTTGTCACCCCTGTGTTGCCACCATGTCTCTGATGCTCATTTCCACCACCAATTTATATCTATGGCAAACAAGCAGATTCTAAAGGAGGTTAGAGGTAAAGGGGGAGGGGGATCTTCAGTGGCCCACTGACTATGGGTGCATTCCCAGAGATTTAGATCGATCCAAAGATTTAGATTTAGATCGACCTAACTCCCTGGGGGTTCACGCTAAATTGTTGTCAGCCAAGTGTGCACCATAGTTAATTACCCCTTACAGCTTTTAGTAGGCGGGACAGACGCTTAAGCCGGCTAAGCTGACAGTAATCTAATGAGACTCCCCACAGGGATAGATTGATCTAAAATCTATGGAAATGGGGTTTATTACTGATGTTGGTGAACAGAAAAGTGCTCTGGTATCTTATGATGTCTATTTAAACATCAACTGGTTCAGCTTTGATTTAAACCTGTGTCAAAAACAGGACAGAAAGTTTTGTGTCAAATTTGCCATATCAAAATTCATTTATCTGTTGTGTGGGATGAAATGAACAACTTCTATATTATGCTTAACACTGTGTATATAATCATTTTATTGGATATGAGATACTGCCAGTTGAATAGGTTCAGGGATTATAAAAGAAATATGTGCTGTTCTATTGTGAGGGCTAGCTGTAAATCAACTTTGCACGATTGTTTTGAGACTGAAAATATCATTTGTCTTAATCTGTCTCATAAAATAACTATCTGCATATTTATAGCTGATCCTCTAGGCTAGCAAATGATAAATCGATCTATTTCATTTGAAACAATAAATGGCAACTTGCAAATCTCATACAAAAAAATACATTACCATAAAAATGAATTTGAAGAATAAAGTTCGGAACCATCATTGAATATTCACATGCACTGGAACATCAATTTTATCAGACATAAGAGTGTAAGGTATCTATATTTAGAATATTTTGTAACATAAGATTGGGGTACTATCAGTCTGGGAATAATCTTGTTATCTTTGTGTACAACAGGACTGAGTAAATGTACATACAGTATTCTTCTTGAATCATTATAATCAAAGGAGGCATAGAGAAGAGCTGTTTTGAACAGTGATGGCTTTAGGTCTTTCCTTTCATTTTGAAATGGCCGTGTTATTTGACTTCACAGCGCAACTGATTTTCAATTTTTTTGAAGTGGACGTTGAAAAAAAGCAAGATCACTCATTGCATGAGGAGGTGATTGTGTTTTACTGGATTCATAATTTTTTTCATACAAATGTAACACCAGCAAACAAACGCAGTCAAGCTTTTAAAGAACATGGTAAATAGAGAATATGGTCCATATTGAGATATGAAATATATATGCTTGTATCAAATTATGTTGGATGTAATATGTGTTTGTGATATCTCCATGAGGGTATAAATATGCATGTCAAGGTCAGTGTGGGGTCAAGGTCATATTCAGGATGGTTTTAACCTGAAGCAACTGGATGTTGACATTTTTCATTTTTCCCCTTCCCCTAAAAAGTGGTTATTTTCAAGTGGTTATTTCCTTAACACTTAAAAAAATTCACTTTTGATAAACAGTTCTGAACTTGATCTTTGTTCCATAATTATTATTACACAGTTCCACAGTTATGAAATTACTACAATTATTTCTTGTAATTAGAGCCATATTTATGTTCTGTCTTAATTGCAGTCTGTAATGAGAATCTGACATCAGAATTAGGAGCAGCTGGCATCAATTTTTGTTGTTATATATTACTTCACTGAATTAATGGATTTGAAGATAAATGGTGTGATGAGGATTAAAGGGTTACAGGCATGATTATGAGGACATTTGATTATGATGCAGGCATTGTTTTTTTAACAGAAATTAAAAAAAAAAAATGGAATAATGGATGGATTAATGAACTGGTTTTGTTTCCTTACTCACACCCGCCTGCTAGGAAAAAGAAAGTCATCACACATGTTTTATCAAATAAAAATATAAAAATAGATTAATAAATAAAATGGAATAATGAAAGATTTTGGACTTGAAAACACATGAAAAGTCCTCACCAATAACACATGCAGGGGACATTTCAGCTCTCACTTGCTAGTTACTTGTTTGCAATGATGGTGAGTCTCTCCCCCTCTCCCCCAATCCTCCTCTTCACACACACACACACACACACACACACACACACTTGGAACATGAATATTTTTAAATAATATTATTAAAGTTAAATGTGTTTACAGTGGTTGTTGTTGGGACTACAGAGGGATAACATTGGTTACGCAGTGGGATCTTTTCATAGGAGGCTGTTATGCTGCTCAGTTACTTGCATTGAGATGGATCAGCTTAGCTTGACCTGAAATGAAAACTCAGAAAGGGCTCTATGGATGTATTTGGTAGTACAGGCATTGCTTTGTACATGTATCCAGAATGTACAGACCAGAGTTGATAAGATTAAAGCTGATCTTTTATTAGGCTTACAAGATCACAAAGACCAGTGTGTTGACTCAGGCTCCCCTGTGCACACACTGGAAACCATCTGTCATTTGTGCGGCTGTCGAAGTCGTGATGTTCTATTGAATAGGCTTGAACACATGGTATTTAGTGCAATAAGGGAAGAAAGTTTATTGACTCGGGACGCAGAAGTGCATACACCTCTGTAAGGTTAACAGGCAAGACATTTGGGAGTTTAAGATCCCCCACCCTTCTAACAAAAAATAAGAAATAAAATAAAATGAAATAAATATTATATATATATATATATATATATATATATATATATATATATATATATATATATATATATATATAGAAGAAAATGGATTGCTTTTAATGTGCTAAAGCAAGACTTTTTGTTCAGGGATGGAGTTATGCCCCATACAGATTGCCATCTCACCTCACATTAAAAATGTGTTAAATTGATAAATGCTCCAAAATGCCTGTGCTTATGCTAAGAAACAAGAAATATAAATGCTCATATTTTATATTTTCAAAGGGATTTTTGTTTTTTATTAGCAAAAAAGTTGTCACCAATAACACATGCAAGAATAATATTACTTAAAAACACAGCTTATCATGTTTTTTTTTTTTTTTTTATTTTATCAGCTATAATCATCTACTTGGCATTGTGACTAAGTGCAATTGATGGTTACTACTAGGCAGTCATTCTATCAGAATTAATGGGTGCTATAATGTGGAAATAGTTTCAATGAGATTCCTATTAGATGACTGTTGCAGTAAGAGCAGTTTTATTGAGCAGGGTTAATTCTACATTTCATTGTGAACGGACTTGATCTTATTAGCCTGTTTGGAATCGATTGGGTGGTTGAAGTAGCATTTAACATGGCACAAAGGCAGTATACATCTAAAGGAAAGTCTTGGCGATATTTTTCTGTTTTAGATAGCACTTATATTTTATTGTATTTTAAATTTTTTTTTAAATTAATTTTGGGACAAATTAAGGGAAAGTTAAGTCATTTTTGCATTTCTGAAGTTAAAGTGAATCATATCTGGCCAGTTGTCAGCTCTTTGACCTGTGAAAGCAAAACATAGAATGGTACTTCTAATCACATACTGTAGAAGCATAAAGGTAAACCAGTTACTTGGTGGCTGTGCTTTGTCACAGATAATCATGGTATTTGACTTACAAGTACTGTGAAGAAAGAGCAGCTAAGGACATGCTTGTTTAACTAATCCTATGTTTCAGCACTTTGGTTCACAGGGAACAAAAGAATGATTAAGTAGCTGTCTATATAACACCTGCGTTACCTGGTCAAACATCATTTCATAGTATTATGTAATGTAGGAGATAGTTGCCTGGCAATAAAGGACCAGCTGTGTTTTCCAGTGAGTGGCATAGACTAAGAAATTTATGATTCCATAGGCATTGGTCTGTGGGATTCTGGAAATTCATACAATTTTTTTTTTTTTTGCCACAGACCAATATTTTTGTAATCTCAGCAAAGTTATCATCTAAGGATGTCTGGGAGAATGCCAGTCCAGGAAAATTTTTGAAAAATGGTGTAATTTCATACATTCTGGGGGAATTTTTAGCAAAATAATTGTAGCTCATGTTCATATCTGAAGAACTTCATAGACTACAGGACTCAAAAAAAAAAAAAAAATAAATAAAATAAATAAATAAATAAAAAATAAGATAAATAAATAAATGAATAATAAAATAAAATAAATAAATAAATAAAATAAATAAATAAATAAAATAAATAAATAAATAAAAATAATAGTTATAATAATAACAATAATAATAATAGAATAAAAATAATAAATCCTACAATGAGATACACATTGATATATATGGATAACATTTTTAACTTGTTCCCTTTTTCTGCTCAATTCATATATCCCGAAAAGAAAGTCCATAAAATATATTAATTTCTTATCTCATAGTAAAATTCTTTTTATCACAAATCATACTGCTTTTTTATGTTTCAGTTTATAGCAGTATGATGATGATGATGATGATGATAAGATCTTTTTTTATTTTCAGTTAGTCTCATTCATCCTGATAGGCGTGGCAGCCTATGCCAAGGCTATGGCGGTGGTCACCAGCCTGGCTCTGGTGGGGGGGATCATCGCCTGCGGAGTGTTCTTACTACTGATAGCCATCATAGGACTCATTGGAGCTATCAAGCACCACCAGGTGCTGCTGTTCTTTGTATCCTTGACCTGTGACCTTGACAGAAAAGGAGCATTTACACTGGAGGGGGAGTCTTGGTTTTATCTGATCCATGATCGCATCAAAGCCGTGGTCAGATTTAGTCATCTGGGGGTCAAGATTTTATAGTATTTTTACAACAATTTTTCAAAAAGTTAAACTCACAAGTTTTGCTTAAATTTATATGTGATGCAGATATTTTTTTGTTTCGTAGTTTCCTGAACTTACAACAGTACATGTTGATTCTTTTCCTGTTGTTCCTAGTCCAGTTTGCAATTTCATGCGCGTGCTTGGCCGTCAATGAGTCACAGCAGCAGCAGATTGCACAGGCAGCGTGGAAGGTAATTTTGAACAAATACATGGCTGGTGGTACATGTTCAGGTGGCTCACACCTCTCTGAAGCTCTGTCTTTTTACTGGCTGTCTGAATCGATACTTTGTTGAACCACTTTAGAATTTATTCAATTTAGAAGCTTTGTTGGTCTGCCAAATGCAGACTAGTGGTCTACTAGGTTAATATTGACTCTGAACATAAGTACTAATATAGTACAATGTATGAGAGGTAAAAAATTATAATATGACTTACAGCAATTCAGGTATCAGTGAATTTTCAGTCTGCAACAAAAAAACTTTCGAACCTACTGGTACATAAGGCCTCCAGGGTCTAACAGTGAACTGATAAGCAGAAACAGTGACCAGTAACTGAACAAATAATACAAAATACTGGTATTTCGTGTTGAGCCAACAGTTACTATTACTTACTGGCTATATTGCTGAAGATTCCTATATAATTTTTAATTACAGATAGCAGAGGATGACCTGAAAATGAAAATCCAGGAATTATTTGAATGCTGTGGCTTTGATACATCCTCCCAGGCTCTGCCGGCTAATGACTCCATGTCTCATCCAGACTGTTTGAAGGTACCACATTATTATTATTATTATTATTATTATTATTTGCATTACATGTCGTCAGTGAGAAACCAGACATGATTCATCTTGATAAACTTTAAAACCAACTGTGTGATGGAAATGTTTGCAGAGTAATTACACTAGTCTAATCATGAGGTGCATTTTACCTCGGTGAATATTTTAGTCATGTTCATTTCAGTGTTTATTATAATGTAATTGGCTGCATTTCTTCCCCCAGATAAAAGGTTGCGTGAGTTCAGGTGCGAGTGAGTTCTGCTGTAATCTGGTGAATGGGTCCAAGGACTCCTGCCCAGTAGAACCCTGCTTCAACAACTTACGCAATGACATCCAGACTGCCTTTAAAATATCAGGAGGCATCGGACTGTTCTTCAGTTTTACAGAGGTGAGGGCACACTTGATTGTGAGTTCGGCATGGTGTTTGTCTCTTGATGTCCCCAGGGTTGCGTGAAGTAGTTTTATCGAAAACTTGTTTTGGACTGAAGAAAATAGCTTAATACTTACGAACCTGCTTTGATTCATTTCTTTGCATTATAATCCTGTAGAGTTGTTCACAAACTGATTATAGAAAGACTGTTGCTGCTGGATAAGGTCTGAATATCACTGATTTAACAATAATTAATAACAATCTCAGCAGGAAATTGTTTTGTGATGAGAGATACCTTAAAAACTTGACTCATTTTAAATATTTAAAAAAAAATGGAAGAATTTTTTTGAAAACATTTCCCCACTTTCTAAATTGATGGAGATTTTTCATTTGGTTATTATGGAAAAAATTGACTTTTTCACTTTTGACAAGCTACTTAACAATACAAGAAAAGCATGCTCAGGACCCATTTTTTCAGTGAAACACATTAAGTTAAAGGTGACTTATTTGTTGGGGTTTATGATATTTACTGCAAATTGAATTATAAAGTCTACAGTTTGCTTCATGAAAATATCAAGTTCATGTTTGTGAATTGTCTTGTTTTTTATTGCATGAATAAAACTATTGTTTAAACTTGGTTGAAAATTTAGAATTTCAAGTTCCTTTTTCGGATATGTTCACATGAAGTTGTTAGTTAAAATATTCATGCAGTTCTGTGAAATGCTTGCAAGTATGTTTCACTGTCATTATTTATTTGTTGTTGTTAAATTTGGTGAATTATTTTGTAATTGAAATAGGTCATTTTGAAATGTCTTTGTTCTTAATCAAAGTTCAATATGAAATATGAAAGTAAATTTAAATTCATTATGTTTACATGATTAAAGGTTACAGTAGTTCCCTTTTTCTGGCCAATTCATCAAAACACTCCTGGTTGGTGGGGATAATAAACAGTGGCCTTTTTTATATTTACTAAGCAAGTAGGCATTTGAATGCTCATCTTCTAATGAAAAAGTTTTTGTTAATGTTTTGATTAAGGGGAGTGTGCGGGAAAATCAGTGGGTGACACATTGCTGGCTTATCAACAATCTTTATTTAAGATTTAAAGATCAGTTTTTTTTGTTCTTGATAATTTATAGTGATATAGATTTTGTTCTTTATCTTTTTATATTACATTATTGTGTCTGATAATATTGAACATTTATGTTACGTACTAGTTTGTGTTTTGTTTGTTTGTTAATTTGTTTGTTTTGTTTGTTTTCATGTGTCTGTATCAATAACTGACAAGTTGGGTGTTTCAGATCATGGGCATGTACATCTTAATGATTGACAGCTTGTCATAACCATATATGGTTCATGTGTGTTTCAGATCTTGGGGGTGTGGCTAACGGTCCGGTATCGTAACCAGCGAGACCCAAAATCGAGTGCTAGTGCATTTTTGTAATTATAGCAGGTTTCTAGATGATTTCTAACCCACACCAGCTAGGTATTAATGTTCTGTGTGTTGCATGATGCTAGAGGCGGTGGGATGCTAGCTTAGGGAAAGGCGGGTATTTATAACAGGGAAGAAGTAGAAATGCTGGGTATGATTTACTGACATGAAATATGCCTATTTCTCTCTTTTTTTTTTTCAAAACTACACTGCCTAAAAAAAAGAAAGATCTGTTAAAAATATACATACCAAAAACTTAATTGAACTGTGAATTTGAAAATAAGAAAGAAGAAACATCATGATGACTGTTTTGTGAAAAAAAATCATTTAGTTTCTTTCAAGGCTGATAAATAACTGTGGAAAGATGACACGAGAAAAAAAGGCAGCTTTCAGTGTACCAGTTACCTCAGCATTGATATATTTTATTTTATTTTATTTCATAATAACCAAAGGGTATGTGAAAGCTTTTCTGTGCATCATAAGCATAGAAGATAATGGCTATTTCTCCAACTCATGTTGTTTTCTTGCTAAGCAAACTAGTGATATGGCCATGTGCTTAACTTTTTGGCATCCTCTGTATTTCCCCTAAAAAGCTGACTTTGAATGGTCGGGTATTATTCATGTTCTCAATTTACATATCTAAATCAGCCAGCTCTCTGATAAACTCATTCCTAAAAAAGTATGAATTTCATAACAAGATATTTAGCACATTGATGACAACAACCCACTGTATGTTTAAATGTCTGTAAGGACTTCAAATAGTTGTTGTCAGTAGGAACTTTTTTTAAAAAGGACAACAGCCTCAAAAATTGGTCAACTTGGTGTTCATGCCACTACCCACTCTATGTTTTTGTCAGTAGATTTTTGCATTGATTTGTTCAGCTAGCTGGTGTCTCATTTTTCAAAGTTAAGACGATGCCATCTCTGGCAGATTTTCCTAAGATCTACAAGTATACAAATTTCAAATCTGCTTGTTCATAGAAACTACCAGATACTTGAAGCTTCCTTTCAATTAATCAATAATGATTCTGTGCCTTCAGATGACTAAAGCTTTTTCACATGTTCAATGCAGCACAACATTTCACAAGTAAATGTTAGTTTCGATTTCCCGTTGATAATGATTGGGGAGGGGGGGCTAGTAAATTAACGTACAACACTACTTTTGCTTAATTTGTTACATGGTATCAGTAGATTGAAGCGGCTTTCTCACCAGGGAGATGAGATCACGAAAAAGACCAGACATAAATTGTAAAGCTGACTGGTCTTACTTATCAAGGATATTTGGCTATGAACCCTAATTTTTTACCCTGTCATCTTGGGATGTGCTAAAAAGGGAGTTCATCGAATGTAGTTTTCTCAGCCGTCTTGGACAGAGTAGACCTTGTTGAAAAGGGGAAAGTGCTGAAATTTCCAGGATTTATTACTTATTTATTTATTTAATTATTTTTATGAAGATCTACCACTCATTGTATTCCCATAAGGATACATTGGTTGAGAAAGATCTTAACATTTTAATTTGTAGTCAGTTTTTGTGGTGTTTGGCTTTTGTTTTGTCATATTAGTTACATGGTATTTAGTAGTTTGTACAGTGGTTACAGGTTTGGGATACAAATGCTGACTTGCAGCTGTTTTGGTAGTGGGGTCCAATTTTTATTTTAGTTTGTTTAGATGGTGGAGATGGTTTGGGGTTTGTACTATTTAGTTAAAAATGACATGATTTTTGTGTTGCTAATTGATCCTTATATGTATATATTTTTATGTCATGCAGTGCTTCATCAGTGCATATTTTTTGAAAATGTGTCTCGTTTAGAAAATTGCTTTGAAAAATTTTACTGGTCAATTTGCATGTTATAAAGGTATCCATGTTGTTTTGAAAGTGTACGTTTTTCCATTTAAAGTTTATTGCGAATCCAAGCTTTCAAAATTTCCACACCTGATATTGTACTATATGCTGCATGTCTTACTGACCATTTAAAAAGTTAAATTGCATGGCCAATAGTTCAACTTCATCATGGTGGGCATGTACTTCTTTCGTAGAATAAAAAAAAACTTTGTAACTTGCAATATGTTTACCAAATAATAAGTCAAAAAAGAAACTGAACAACAAAAATCAAATGTGAACTTTGAGATAAAAAGGCCCAAGATATTTCCAGTGATAATCAAAATTGATATTTTAAATAGTTTTATGTTTTCCTGCATAAAGGAACAGCTTTTGCCCTAACTGGTGGTGTTGAAATTGATAGCAGTGCTTCAGGAATTTACACGCGTAGTGTTCTAGTATTGAATTCATGTTAACTTGGTCATATTATATTTTATTTGCTGTTGACCATTATTATTATTATTATTATTATTATTATTATTATTATGCATGATATGTAAAGTGACAAAGATGACAATATCCCTCAGTTTTTACACCAGAATCAATACTAACAAAAAAGGTGAGAAGATACGAAGATTTAAGAGATGTTATGTTATGTACTAGTTAATAATCTATGGGTCATTGCTTTTCATTCCTGTTCAAATTCTGTTTCTTTTCAGATCGTAGGAGTTTGGTTAGCCATCAGATTTAGGAACCAGAAAGACCCAAGAGCCAATCCCAATGCCTTTTTATAGCAGTAAATGAATGATAGGACATTAGCGTACTCAGTTTGCCAGTTGAAAACACATGTAGGCCATTCAGAACAGTTCTTAGGATCATCATATCTACAGATCAAATATGGCAGACCCTACATGAAAGAAGAGCTGACTAATCCGCTGACGGTCTCCCCGCCTCCACACGCGCCATCTTTGCAGGGGTCTATACTAGCAAAGAAACCTTGGATACGTGATTTAATCCATTTAATGGCCCGTGTGGAGGCAGGGTGACCATCAGTGGATTGGTTGGCTCTTCTTTAGTGTAGGGTTTGCCATATTTGAACAGTGGATCTGTAGAGCTTTGGTACTTTGGTTCTGAATGGCTACTTGGAGTAAGAGGAGGTTTGCAGAGAACGTTCTGACGGATACCCACATCAGTGTCTGGAGTGAAAGACATTTGTATTTCAATATAGCTAGCTAGTATTTATGGAAACTTTGAAAATAGGTATTGTGTTTGAAGTCGTTCAGGCATTTGATGTACTTCATGTTGTTGTTGATGTTTATTATGGTTATTGTATTTTTAAATAAATAGCAAGTAACTTGGGATATGTGATGTAGTTATTGTTTGCATTTTGGAGGTATCTTTATTTTACATTGCAGAAACTAAGTTGTTTCCTGGGGCTTGTTTCTCAAAAAGACTATGCTTAGTTTTGGTGCCAAAAAATTAGCCCATAAGTTCATAGCTCACTAATAAAATTAAACAGAATAATTTAAAAGGCCACACGAAGCATCTTCTCATTTTAAGATGAATAAAATAAGCTCTTTAAGAAAATTGTGATTGTCATAATTAAGATTTTTACTCAAAGTGGTGTGGCAGATACATTTTTTGTGGGCCAAACATTCTTATAAGCTCTAAGACCAATATCTTTTTATAGACGGCTATCCAATTTTAGCAGTCTCTTTGTGAAACAGCCCCTTGATGTGTTAGCTGTTCTTTGACTGTTGCTTGTGAACATGATATTTCCAACATACACATTTTAGCCAACATTTGCTTGCTCCTGAAGGACAGTTTCACAAAAAAAGAAAACTTAGGCCTGAAATGTGATCTTAGACTAGTCTCTAAGACCAAAAATTTCATCACTTTGTCCCAAGATAAATAATGTAGTCCAAATATGTAAAACATTGCACCTGTTTTACAACATGTAAATTTTGAATAACAGACCAATACTTTCTGCAGTGGACTGAATTTATCTTGTAGTGAAGAGAACCCAAGTTTTTGGTCTTTTGGCCTAAAATGTTCTTTTGTGAAACCGAGTCAGACTTGATTCCGCCTGCAGTACTACCCCAGTGTTGTTAGTGAAATAACTGGAAATATATATATGTAACTTACAATTATAAAGAATGTTTTGCTCATATTCTTTTTTGATGTGCGTACAGTAAATGATGCACAACTCCTTTGAAATTCAGGTAAAATCTTTACCTTAATAGCTTTATTTCTCATTCAAGATTGCTATACGTACACGCTTTAAAAACTTTTTTTTAATGTGTAATTATTCAAGATACTGACAGTGGCTATCAATATTATAAAGTTTAAGTTTATACAAGCTTTGGACATTGTGCACTAATATATTTATCTAAACATACAGCCAGCTAACTTTTCAGACATATTAAATCAACATTTTAAGTATTGCTTACAATATACCATTAAGGGGTTATCGTTAATTCATTTTGTTCTAATTTGAAGAGTAATTATCGTTAATCAAAAGTGTGATTTAGACGGCCCTCTCATTAGTCATTAGAACAGAGAACATCCTTTTCTGCCCGACTTTCCACGCTCTTTGTTGTTACCTGTATTATAAAGGTGTAAATTAATGTTGAACATTCCTTACTGTCCATGTTTGTTGTGACGTTATACTAACTGTTCCAATTTAGGCTGCGTTCACATGAAAAATCTATTTTCTAAATAGATTTTTAGAAAATAGATTTTTCATGTGAACGGTCCCTTATAGTGGTTCTCATGTGTTCTGTGACATTGCTGTTTCTGATCCATTCCATTTCTGTGTTAACAAGCACCTCCTTGTGTTATTTCATAGTAATTTTACATGTGCTTTTTTGCTAACATAGTGACCTGTGGGCAGGAAGTTGATGTGTACCCTCTTGCACATGGGTTTTATTCCTGATAATGAAATTCCCTGAATCGCCAAATGTAAGATATGGCCCTTGGTTTTGATGTACCTGTAATTGGTTAAGCTAAGTTCTGGTGATGATGACGGGATTTTCAGTAGTGGTAGAGGGCTTGAATTTACTTGTTTTTTATTTTTCCCATCATATTTTAAACAACAACAAATTTGCTGGAAGCAAAACTAGTTCTGTAAACTTATGTGGTAGATTCTACTTTGGGATATTATTTTTGTCTCATTTGGCAAATTACCAAAGAAAAGTAGCCTTGATATTGATAATTTTGTTTTAATTGATGAAAATTAGCTTGGGGGGTTGAAAAAGTGTTTTTCATTTTAGATCAGGTCAATTTTTAAAGAAAGATAAACCTGTGTCTTATACTTAGTTGTTGTTATTTAACTTTCTGGATATTTTAAGTAGAGGGTAAAGAGGTTGTTTGATTAGTTGTAATGGCTATTGAACTATTTTATCTTATCTTCAGTTAATCATTTTACATTAAATGTTGTTGTTATCATACCACAGTACCTCTTCCACTGTCAGCTTTAATATATTAATAATTGTTAGGAATTTATTTACTGTATGAGTATTTACTTGCTAGCTAGCTCCCTAGTAAAAAAAATGTTTTTTTCTTTATAAAATGTTTCAGAATATTTTAGTATAATATTCAGTTATGCCATGTTCTGCTATGTTACTGGTTTAAATCTGTTAATACTTGCTGTTCATTGTTACATGATATAGCGGTGTGCAATAATGGTAGCTCCACTGTCTCTCCCTTGCCTGGCTGACCGATTCTGGGCTCCTTCTCAGTATTTTATCAAGTTGGAATTACGAGCTGTAAATGTAGAGGCAGTTGTTGTTGATGGATTTAGAAAACACATGTTCACTGAAATAAAATGACTTGTTAGCCTGTCAGAGGTGGGGATGGACCAGCAGGATTCCTGGATTTTTTTTTTTTTTTTTTTTTGAAACTAACTTTAGAGAAAGGTTATTAAAAGTTTTCCATGAGGTTTCATTCATATTTGCAGCTCTGATGTATATCAGTGTGCTCATGTCCATTGTTAGTTTATTTCAGTAATGTGTGTTTTGTTGACAAGTTTTATGGCACTGGTGCTGGTTTATTATTGTTTAACCAACTGATAAATAGTATATATACATATAATATATAATGCTGCTGTACATAGTTGGAGGAAATAAATATTAAGGTTATTGATTTTATGTCATTCCTTTAATCTTTCTCTCTTTCTCTCTCTTGCTCCAAACTAACACAGCATTTCTGGTTTGTAATTAATTTAACGGACATGAGCAACCAGTCCTGTAGCCAATGATTTCAAAAGGGGGAGGGGGGTCTCTTTCTGAAAAAGTGTATCTTGTCTGACAAAAAATGCAGTTCTTTTGACCCAGACCCCCTTCTAACGGGTCTGGTTGCCATACTGATTTGTTGAAGAAGAAAAGTGTTTAAGAGGGGACTTCAATGCACACATTTGCATTTGGGATGCTTTTGAATTAAAAAAATCTGATTTACTTATTAATCAGTTTTAACTTAAGCGTGGAAAGGTTTCTTTTGGCTTCAGCAAAAAGCAATGGCTAGGTTAAGGTTTGATTAGCGTCAAAAGTGTAAGTCTAAATCAAATTTTGATAACATTCGTACAAGGTTAACAACATATAAAATCCGTTGAAACATTCGATAGAAAAAATATACGTTCGCTACCAATACAACGAAAAGAATGCTAGGTGGTTTGTCTTGCTGCGCTTGGTTCAGGGCAGCATCGGTGCATAGTTGTGCCGCGCGAAAGACATGCGAAGAAGATAATTTTGTTAAAAGAAAATAGCCTAAAAGATATTTCACGCAGAATATGGCCATAAGTGTGCCGAAAGTGCTTCTGTTTGGAGATTCTCTAACGCAGGTATAGTATCGAGTCGTTCATCTGTCCAGTGCGTTAAAAATGAAACTGGCAGACATGACACTTGACAGTAACGATCCTGACTTAGTACGTACGTTTCAGCACTCCTGTTTCCAACTTGTGTTACAAGCAATCAATGCTATAAATTACACAGCATTTGTATATATCACGTCACATCTGGCCTCAAAGGTTTCAGGTCGGATCGAGGCCGAAGACTGAGACGAACCCCACAAATTGCTTACTGCAGTAAGCAGCTACCGACACTTTTTCAATCAGTTTCGCTTCAATTGCGGGGAGGTTTCCAGAACTTCAGTAGAAAGGAACAACTTACTTCATGGTTTAAATTCTAATTCATATTCTTAATTGAATTTTTATTTCATTCAAAGAAGGTGTAAAAATCAACATAAAATCTGCTAGAAGCAGTTTATATTTGCTTTTGATTTGTGCATAAATGTTTCGCAAAGGTTAGAATGTGTGTTTGGTGGTTTGTCTTGCTGCACTACTACTGGTGCAGTATCAGTGCACAGTTGTGCAGAGCAAAAGACACATGGTGAAAGCAGATTTCTTAAAGAAAGTATCCAAATAGATATTTTACATTGACTATGGCTATCAGTGTGCCTAAAGTGCTTCTTTTTGGCAGTTCTTCAACACAGGTATAGTATATCGAGTATAGTTTATCTGTGCACAACTACAGGGAAACTACCAGTAATGAAATACATGTCACCTGACTAAAAAATACCATTACTCTAATGCACCATAATTTAAAAAACCATCAAAATCAGTTCAGTGTTTTTTAACAAATGTATGAAAAAACGCCATACTCAGTATGTATGTCATGGTAGGTATGCTAATATTAGATGCTTGCAAATAAAACCCAGCTGTTACCCTAGTAATAGGCATGTTAAAACAACCTTAAAAATGAATTTGAAGTATGGGCAGCAAGGAAATTGAAAACATGAGACTTGGAGGTAAGAAACCTTCAGAAATGAGAGTTGCAGACTGTAAGATGTTATTAGTACTGTAGTATGTATGTTTTCTTTACAGTATGGCTACAGTGAAGACGGTTGCTGGGTGTCAGTAATAGCTGATAAGCTTCAAAGGTAGAGTAAGCTGCAGGATCTGTTTCAGTTTGATGTTTATTACTTTGTTTTACAGAGTGTATGACTCGAATGAAGTGATTGCAATTAGGCTGGTAGGTACACAGCATACCTTCCATACATCTGCCATGAGATATATAAAAAGCAGACTATGTTGCCTTGTTTCTTAAACTATTAAAAATAAGTCTGAATTTTGATTTTGCAACCTTTAAGTCCATGAGCAGTCAAAGGTTATGAAATATAAAAAATCAAAACATCTTAATGAGATCTTGTTTAGATCAGCAACTACTATGTGGCACCCAAGGAGTCGAATGGTGAACATCATCATGAACATACTTCAAGCCTTGGTCCAATGATTTACTTAGTGCAATGTAATAAACATGCATCTGTTGTATTCTAGGAGATGTGATGTCATCAACAGGGGATACTCAGGGTACAACACAAGATGGGCTCGCCTCATGTTACCAAAACTGGTTACCAAGGAAACAGCCAATGACATCGCTGCCATGGTGATATTCTTTGGCGCCAATGACTCTGTGCTGAAAGATTTGAATCCTCATCAACATGTCCCGCTGGAGGAGTACCAAGATAATTTGTCTTCAATGATTACTTATCTCAAGGTAGGGAAAGATAGCTTCAGAAGATTATTTTCACCCTGGAAATCATTGACCTTAGGGCTTATAAAATTTTGTATATGTAAATGGGAGGAACAGGGTACTTATTGCTCTGATGAGAACATCAAGAGATCACATCAACGGCCATCGGTCTTCTGATGGAAAGTCAATTTTTTTATTTGACCTCTTGGTGTGAAAATGTATTGTTAATATTGAAAATTTGGCACATGTTGTCAAAGTAAGCTTTTGTCAGACTTTAAAGATACCAGCTGGTGGAAAATCTTTCAAAAAAGAAAATTAAAGAAAAAAGAAAAAAAAAAGATAAGAAAAAGTTGAAGTATGAGTTTAACCCAGATTCTGTGGTACATGCTTTCAGAGCTGTGGCTTGGGGAGTAATAGAATTATCCTAATAGGACCTCCCCCTTGTGATGAACAACACTGGAAAGAGAGAATGGATGCTGAGGGTAAGTCAGGACCCACTAACTGAAACCCCTGCTGAGGGTGAGTGAGGACCAACAAATTGAAATCCAGGGGGGTGTTGATCTTCTGTCCCCCTATAATGATGTAAGACAGATGCTACAGAATATCTGTGATACCATCCTAAATGTTGTAATATAAGTGTTACCTATAGAGTTGATTAACTTTCATAGACACCCAATACAAATGTATTAAATATTAGATAATCACTTTTAGGTCGACCGCAGTCTAAGTCCCAAGAGCAGACAGCCCTGTATGCCAAAGCTTGTGAGTCAGTTCACAAATCTCATGGTACAGGATTTGTGGACCTATATACTGATATGCTGAAGGCAGGCGCAGAAGGAGACGTGAGTATCACAATGTTGCATGCACTAAAAGTGCACCTAATACAACAAAAGAGCCTAACAGACTCAATGGACTTCTCTAACACAGTGACATGATGTGCAGTAGAGCTTGGGCAAAGGCACAACAATGTATTTTTGGATATTTAATTGTCACATCTAGCACAATTGCACAGTGGATGGAGGCACATGACAGATGTTTTTTATAGTCATGACCAATGTTATTACACCTACTGAAATATTTCATCATCAATGAACAGATTAGAATTAAAAAAGTCATTATTCATTTGAATTTTCATTGATTTTTTTTTCAGAGTTGGAAGTCATTTCTAAATGATGGTTTGCACTTCTCGGCGGCTGGCTCAAAGTTTTTGGCAGAGCGGTTATGGCAGCAACTGGAAGGCATAGTCTCTGACATTGGGATGATTTTTCCAGATTGGAAAACAGTAGATTATGTTAATCCAGAAGCAGTGTTTTCTGCTATAAATTAATATAGACTCTATATAAATTATCACCTGTTACCTCAAGATGTGATTTATCTGGACAAGCATTATGGAGCAATTTTTTAAAATATTATTATATTAAGATCTAATGTGAGCATCACTTTAACTTGAATTAATGCATTAATCAAACAAATTTTCCTGTCCCTTAATGTCTGAGGCATTTTAATTTGCAGTAAAATGTTCTGTACTAATACTCGTTTCTCTTATAACTGATATAACCCATTCTTTTAAGTGAAGATACATTCCATTTTACATGCAATTATTCAATAATATGTCATTGATAATTCATTTATTGCCATTTGACTATATTTTCGTACAAAAATCAGTCTTGATAGATTATTTGAAATGTGCTAATAGCAGTAGAAATATATAGATGTTATACAATAACAAGCGTCATTGTTTATGTCTGATAATATTCAACATCGTGTGCCCTAACATCAATACTATTTTACAAAATAGATGTTCTGTAGAAACATTTTCTTTCTTCATAATGTTAAAACACATTATGCAACATATAGACTTATGAAAAATTAATTAATCTACATCTTTCACTTTAATCAAGGTTCATAGTTATTATTCACAATAACTATGATCACAACACTGGGTGCAATGGATTTCACGCTGGCTGTATTAGCCTCTTCTTGTGCGGTGAAGTAGGGGACTTCATTTTTTAAAAACGGCTCCACGTTAGCCCACGTGCCGTTATGGTGTGGTGAGGGTGTCACGTCTAGCACTTTACACATCAGTTGGTACATGTCCACCGCTTCAACAACGGTCGTCTGCGCACCGGGGCGAAAGGCTGGAAAGAAGACATATTTTTTGCTTATATTTGTGAAGTCTGTGTTGAAATGTTCAAGGTTATTTTGCTATTGTTTCTTTATATAAACGAAACATTTACAAGTTTTTTTCAAATGACGAAGCCACGTTTATTATTTCACGTGCGACTAGAGCAGCGTTTCATTGTCGATAAATTTGGTTGGTTATTTCAATTATATTGAATTTCTTGAATGTGAGTACGTAAGTGTAAACAGAACAACAAACGCATCTCTACGCTTTATTAGAATAAGTCGTGAAAACCGCAATATTGGAGCAGATTCCTTTCTCACCCGGTCCATATGCTGCAAAAATTCCTTGCATGTCTATGTCAAAGTTGTCATAACCATGCCAGCCCTGTTCTGGTAGTCCGGTGTCAGAATACACTCCAACGCTACGGCTGGAAAACTGCAGGAAAAATGTGGCATGATTTACGGCCGCCGGTGTTTGATTTACTATGCGGATTTTCTGTGTTTGGTTTTGGTAATTGAGCGCGATAGAAAAAATTACAGTATGATTCTCTCTTACAAAATGCCTTATGTATAAAACTTCAATTAGGAGAATTTGACAGCCACATTGTTAAATATCAGACGCGGTATAATTAAATCATTTACAAGAATGTTGATGTTATTTGAAAATTAAAATGGAAAAGCCAATGTCAGTCTAATGGACCCGCAAATAAAAAAAATGGGAACTTGCCGTTAAGATATAATATCCGGGATCCGCCACAAGGAGAATGGGTGGGGCACGATAGTGGTGCTTGTAGTGCCATCTATCGGGGATTTCCTCTCTTAGGTATGCTGACCAATGTTCCTCTATTGATAGTGCGTGCAGTACCTTTTAATAAAAAATGAAAAAAAAAAGTTTTCAGGTGCGTTTTTACATGCAGTGTATTATTATTATTATTATTATTATTATTATCATCATTATAAGTGATAGTAGTAGTATATAGATTTTTTTCATTATGAGAAGACTTATTGAAATAATACCGCGCAAAACCATACCTACCTGCAGAGTTTTATTCTGAGCTGGCCACACCCCCGTCACCGCCCCCGCCCCCACTGTCCTCTCCAGGTCAAAGTACGACACGTGGTGACGTATATCTAACACGTGCTCTGGCACAGATACTGATGTCATACCGTGATCTGACATCAGCATGATATTGACGTCATCAGACATGAATCTGTCTTCCAGCTCTTGATGCAGGTAGTCAAACCTAAAATATATTTTACAGACCGCATATGTTAATAAATCTGACTTTATCTTATGTGAAGGTTTTGAAATCCAATGATATATAAATCACCAAATATTTAATTTCTAATCAAAATTAATGCCGCCGCTGAGCGCGTCACAGAAATTCATCTATTGAATTCTAGATCATAATAAGGGTAAAACCTTTGTCAAAAATGTATGGATGAATAAAGAGATAAATATATAAACAGGTAGATAAGTGAATGAATAATGAAATCGAAAAAAAAAAAAATTGATAAACCCGCGCCCTCCCACCCCTTTCAAGGTACCTGGCATCCAGCTGGTATACGAGTTCCTGAACTTCCTGGGTGTCGGGACCGAACTTGTGACCGAATTTGTCCGGTAACTCTACGTAGATACCTGTAGAATAACAGAGACACTGTCCTGTTGGCGGTCTTGTTCTTTTAAATTACTATTTTGAAACAAATCTATTAACTAGAAAAGATAATTAATACAAATGGGGATAATCCGAGATAGCCCGAAATCTCACGACTTACCTCAAAATCAAGTTTTGGAAAAGAGAAGAATAAAAACATAATGGAAGACTTGCAAGTAAAACCTGACAGAATTCTCCACAGTACAAGTTCACTTTGCTTGCCGTGTTACATTTGTAGTACTTTCTTGGTCGACATTCCCGACACTGCGGCACATTGAATTTCCCTTATCGCTAAAAACATGTATACAAAAAGTTATACCCCATATTCTGAGTGTTCTCGCGCCTTTCCTAATTAGTCTAAATGCCATATGACGTCACGTAGTGTCAACAACCCGTAAGACTATCTCGGTTGATTCCCATATTCCCAGGCTATTGAGAGGCATTTACTTGACAATCAAAATGAGTTTTTCATTAAAGTAAAAATAAACCTATGTGTTTTTGAAATAAAATGAAGGCGTGTTTGTAGCTGATTGGTATTATATGCCAGACATCAAAGCATTTTATAGCACAAGTTCTTTCATAAAAAGCATCGAAACCTGATAGTATACGCACCAGGGTTCGTATAAGCGAGAGGTGGTAATGAATTTCGGTCATATATGGATACAGATATGGAAAACGAGATCGAAATTTGTTATAAAGGCCCGTGTCGAGCCAATTAATTGCAATGTCTGGGTTGTAACTCTTCAAAGTTACCATCTCAGTATTTATAGGTAAGACCAGGGAATTATATCCTAGACTGCGATATAATTCCCTGGTAAGGCATATATAGATACAAAAACTGAACAGTGGCATAATTTATACATTTAGATAAAAACTATGGCAAAAAATATTCAAATTATCATTAAACCGACCAATGAAATCTGCCGACTCGTTTTGAAATAGCCTCAAGCTCTCCTTTATGGCGACATCGAGGTCCCCCAGGTGGGGCATCGTGGTGTAGGGGAGGCAGAAGGTGGGTCGGAGGCCCCCCACGCTCACCTCACATCCGGGCCAGAAGTACAGGTAGCTGGAACGACCCTGTTGTAAAATTAAAGGCGGAAACGTTGAATTTAAAAGCTTAAACGAAACAATGATTGTTCTTGATTTAATATGAACATAAACTTTTTCCACCGTGAGTTTCAAAGAATACTGGACAGCCCCCCCCCTCTCTCCCCCTTTCAGCACCATCGCTATGCGTTACTGTGAACTGCACAGGCGTGTTGGCAACAGAAGCTAGTTTCCAGTATTCTTTGAAGCTTAGGGCGAATAGATCTACACCTAATCTATAAGAGGGTACATCAAAATTCTCGTAAGTATTTTTTTCCAAATGATCCCTGAGCACCGTGAGGTCGGTGTGAGGTCCCTGTAGGCGCAGCTCTTCTAACCACTGCGTTATTAAAAAAGGCGGAGACAGGGAGAGAGAGGCTAGTCTCCAGGAGAAACTGAAATTCGTTCCCGAAGGGACGCAGCGAAGTTGACCGAAAGAAAAGTCAGTAAGAATGTGTGTGTGCGTGCGTGTTTGACAGAGTGTGTGTGTGTGTGTGTGTGTGTGTGTGTGTGTGTGTGTGTGTGTGTGCAAGCACGTGTAGTATTCATACCTGTTTTTCAGCTGTTATCCACACTGGCTCCCCACCCTCCCACCACAGTGACTCGTACTGGGCAGGGTAGCGACCCATCCGGAAATACTCGGCATATTTCGGGTCGTACACGTAGTTTCCAAGCAAGCCGTGACTCTCAACGTAGAGACCTGGCAAGGGAACGAAAATTGTTACTCTTCTTTATGGGTTCTTTGCCCTGATTAATTTATTCATTTATTTATTTCATCAGATGCAATTGTCCTAATACATAATCAGAAAGCAGTTGAGAGAGAGAGAGAGAGAGAGAGAGAGAGAGAGAGAGAGAGAGAGAGAGACAGATGAGGGAGATGAGTTCAGGTTTTATGGAATGAACGTAATTTCAAATAGATTAATTTTAGGTCAAAAACATGTTTTTGTAGGTCTAATATGAAAGCAGGCGGATTGCGGAAATTCATGAATTTCTTCAGTTGTGAAAACAGGGCGCATGAAACTCAACTACTCGAAACCGTAAATTATATTTTCATATGCGGTCAGTCGGAAAAGCTCGGTCAATTGAATCCTTTCCTGTTATGCTCTTTAAATGAGTCATAAATGATATCAAAATACGCGACCAGCATCTGGACGAAGGTCGTCAAGAACTTAAATGAGTTTTTCAGAAGGGGTGGTGATTTTTCAACTTCTTTATCGGGGTATCAAGAAAGAAAAACATCTTATATTGGATCTCATTTTTAAAGGTCTAGCAAACTCGGGTCTAATTGTCTATGTGCGTAATGAGACTCTTAGTGCAGTTGCAGGCCGTTTTGTTCGTGGGTAATACTACATGGGGATGATTGTCAAGTGGAAAACGATGCTCTTTTGTTCCCGGGGAAAGATGAAAGACGAAAGCTCCACCTCTTAACTACCTGTTGAGAAATCTAACTTACAGATCAGCATGCTTATGGCAAAAAGATGAGTAATTTTACAAAACAGTGAACACCAATAGTAAAGTGGCTCGGGAAGGCGACGTGGTATCCTGCACCAAGAGGGGAAATGAAACGCCAGTGCGCACCTAAAAAGATATTGGGTGCATCTTTGGAAATTTGTGGTTTCAAAACTTCTTCATTTTTTCTAGACAATCCTTATTTATCTCAAAATCAT